GAGGAGGATGGTAAAAAGCATCTGTTTTTTTTTTTTTTTTTTTCAGCAAAGAGAACTTTATTAAAGAGGTAAAAGGGGTACCTCAAATCCATTTACATTAAAAATCCACGGACTCAGCATGCCCATAATTCCAAAGCATGTGAAAACATCTGTTGTTGGCAGAGACAGAGAGAATATGTAAATGTCAAGTAATTGTGCACCTCAACCTGTATCTTTTAATTGAGGTGTGGTGTGGCTATATAAGAGGTTCCCTGGCTCAAAAACTTCAGCAGCAAGCTTGCTTTTTTAGGTTGGGGCCTTGCAACAAGCTTGCTTTTGAAATGGGCATATTTATACTAGCAACGATTTTTCATTGCTTAAAATCTATATCAAATTAAAAAAGCAATAATACATTTATCCAAGATATGTTCCTTGAAGTTTCAAGGGAAAAGCAAGCAAGCATTTCTTTCTCCCTTTTTTGGTTTAATATGGGAATTGTGAGGATTCAAAGGCATTTCTTTCCATCGGAGAATTGTACGTTGCCAATTGAGCTGCAAATTTGTTTGGTTTAGCAGTCGAAATTTAACTAATAGCTCTTTACTTGCTCATAGTTGTTGCCTTGTTGGCTGTTGCTAATCCCAGGTCTGTTTAACATAAAAGTAGTTCAAAAATGGTGGCGCTTAGAGCCTTAACATGTAGTAACTTTTACGACGAAGATGTACCAAAAAATTAAGGTTAAATGCCAACTGTGGTCCCATAATTTTATAGTTTTGTACAGTCTTCATCTTTCAATTATTTTATTACTTTTTTAGTCTCTTAACTTAAAAAAAATATATTTTTTTATATTTTATTAATTAATTTATTAAATTTATCCATATATATGCATATTTTAGTTTTTAAAATTATAAATTGAAGGATTAAAAATATATATTTAATTAAATTTAGCAAACTAATTGATAAAAGAATTAAAAATATACATTTTTAAAAAATAAATGCTAAAAAAAAACTTAAAAATAAAAATGATGTAAAACCCTAAAATTGAGTTAAAATTATCATTTAACCAAAAATTAACGAAAAAGTTATAAAAAGTTAATTCTTATGATTTTGAGCCGTGTCTCGTGCCTTCAGTCCCATACATGATAAGGATGTTTGATACTCGTGTAATATATAGGAAAAATTAGAAAGCATTATTTTTTTTACTAACTTCTAAAATCGAGCTAGG